TAAAAATCTATGCTAATTAAAATCAGATATCCAAACACCGTCACTGTCATGATTTCCTTTGTTTAAACTTGATGAATTGTTAATGAGTTTGAGAAGAGCTGGGGCTAAAACGATCACATGTATTTCAATGAGCCTTTCCCTGCTTTTCACTCCCAATGGAAGAACTATAGACATTGACGCACCTGCAAGTTATTTCTTCAATGAAAGCGAAGCACGCTGCTCGCCTAGGAAATCACAATTAAATTTGAAAATTTCTAAAACAAACTTATGTCCCACAGACTAAAACCAGACATGAGAATATATGTATTGAACATCACAAACTACACATGCGGTCGTTTCACATTTTATTCCATACATCAGGTATCATTACAAAGTTACACACGTATTTTTCTCCCTTCTAGTCAAACTCATGCAATTAAATAATGAAACTTAAACAGCCAAACTAGAAAATATGATAAATATCTGAAAGGGTACCTATTTCATACTTAGTCCACTTGGATAATGGAATATTCAACAGATGAAAGCATTCAATGGTAATGTGTTTTCATCATTAGGGTCACTGTTACTTCTTATTTGTGTTTCGATTTTAGAATGGCATCATTTAGGGTTCAAACAAAACTTGAGCCACGTCCATATTGATCGTCTTGCTGGGTTTAATTCATTTTTTCGACGAGCGCCCGCTTCCCTCTTATAAAGAATTCCCTCGGCAAAACACATCAGAAAAAGTTCATGAACTTTGCTATAGTGATACTGCAAAGAAAAGTTGGACTTTGCCCCTGTTGTTGTTTCTTACATTATACATTATTGGTATCAAACGATTTTGAAACCAACAGATTAACAAAACAATACATATTTTCTATTTCGGGTTACACGGCTAATTAATTAGTCACTCTTACTATGCAACTGGAGCTAGGCTTTCTTATTTTGTTGAAAATTTTAGCTCAATATCAACGTTTGGCTTCCGTTGCTTATCGCCTGTTCTGCCACATTTCGCGAAGCCACCCATAAAACCATATTAGCATCGCCCAAATAAGGTACAAAGAGACGATTACAAATGCCGTAATTTTTTCAAAACACCACCAGAAGCATGAAATGAAACGATCACATAACCATGGACACCAACCCTCCTTACGAGGTTTCACCTCATTCACCTTACAATAAACACCGCCAACACCATTAGTGATCCACAACACTTTGGCAACAGGTACTGACTTCCAGTCTCGTCCCAGGTGCCCCACAGTTTTTTCAGATGGGCGCCATCTTTGGTCCCAGCTTTGAACGTCTTTCTCATCATAAGAGATTTCTCCATGATGCAGATGGGTGTCTAGCAGCACCGTGCCCTCTGGGTAGTCTGCTGGTACAGTGCCAACGTCTGGTGTTACTCGAGGAGCTAGAGAAGGAGTTAAACAACAAGTATGTTTATAAATGAAGCAATGTGTGGCTTACTATAAAAGGGGCGCAGCTAGTGACACTATTTATTCAATTTCACTGTGATTATATAACAAAAAAAAATCGTAAACGATATTACAAAATGATAATAGCGGAGCTCCGGCGGCCCGAAGGGCCGCCAAGCGGAGCCCCATACTCATATAGGAGAGAAAAGGAAACCCATGAGTTGATTTTCTCATGGTCATCATGGCTAGCGGTATTGCTCGTGGGCGCGTACGCACGACGGCGACGACGACGGAGTCGCGCAACATGGCCGCCATACTCCAAGTAATAGGTTGACAGAGACATGGTGTCTTGGTTTACCGTGTACTTCTTTGATATTGGACATCCATGTTATGATCAATTGACACCTGTCAAAACA